ACACAAGTTACTAGCACAGTGATCTCCAGTTAAGTTAGATTGAAAATACACGGATTTGGACGTGTAAACGATGAGGTTTAGCGGGCGAAGATTCATGTGCACTCTGTTCTATTGCCAGATTTGTTACATAATATTAAGCAAAATCTGTGATGTAATTGATTGTAGTATAGAAGTAAACAGATTAATGATTCCTCATTAAAATAGCTATGTGACTGTGTTGTATGAGGTATAGACGTTTGTCCTGGGCCAGCCTCACTGACGGGGGCATTTAGGGAGTGAAGCAGTGGAAGGAAGATCCCTCTCTCTGTGTCAAATAAATAATTGGGGGGAGCTACTAAAACCCCTCTAGATTTATGTTCTTTTTTTTCTATGAATACAATATCCTTCTAATAACCATGTTAGAAAAAATGGAAACTAGGGCCTTTATAATAACTCACTCTGGCATCTTAGGAAAAAAAAAATTAAGTTTATAAAGTCTGATGTCTACAGGGTGATTCACTAGACCAAATAGAAAATAATGTGGCACTGGTGGTAGTGGTGACCTTTTAGAGAACACAGGTAACCCCTTACAAAGGCATGAAAATACAAAACTGTTTTGACACTGATAATGGAATCCCCATTTATAGCAAGAAACTCTGGGGTCCAAGGTCTGCCAGTGAACTAGCATTGGAGACATCGAGGAGTCTCTTTGACGTGTCTTACCCCATTTGAACTGTTTAATAGTATTTTAAAATATTTATCTTATTTATTGGAAAGCCAGAGTTATACAGAAAGATCTTCCATTTGCTGGTTCACTGTCCACACGACCACAACAGCCAGGACTGAGCCTGACCAAAGCCAGGAGCTTCTTCCAGGTGTCCCAGGCAGTGGACGAGGACAAGCACATTAGCAGGCAGCTGGATTAGAAGTGGCGCAGCCAGGCTCAAGCCAGCATCACAGACACTGACTTTTCTACCGCTCCACAACACCAGTCCCTATTGAAGTCATTTTTGTCTCAGTCCTATGTCATCCTCCCCCATCCAGGAATCTCTAGTTACAGATATGCAATCCGTTGTTCTATAATTAGAATACTAAACTAGATCTGGAATCCCTGCTTAGTGGGCATAAAGAATAAATGCTTTCAATTTCATCAGCTGCCGTGACTTTTAACATAATCAGGAATTGGTATTCATTCATTGCCTTCTATGTTCAAGGTAATGTGTCAGATAATAGATATTATAAAATCCAGAAATATTTGCCCTCTCAGAGCCTATATTTCCAGTAGGCAGGCACTAAATACATATTCCAATGGTAAAAGTACTAATCCTTATATTTTGGAGAACTAATTCTTAATTGTAGCATCAAATTAGTATTACTTAGGAATCTTTTTTTTAAAAAGGCACTATTATGTCCCCAGCCCAAATCAATTAACTTAGAATCTTTGAAGTAGAGTGCTAACATGTGAATCAAGTAACAGCAATAGAGGTCAAACATTGTTTAAAAAACAAATATTGCAAATTGTGATTCTCAATGCATTATTTTTTTTATTTTCCAGTTCTTATTTGAATGCCTTCCAAGCATGGTATTTGGCATAAATGTTCTCACTTTACTTGATCTAGATTTCTTTATGTACATAAAGTATTATGTAGGTTAAAAAAAAATACCCCAGTCATAAACAGAAAACTTTAGTATTCAATTTTAACTTCATTCTTTGGTTCCTATAAATAAACCAAAAAAAATCATTTCATTCTCCAAGAAATATTGCAGTATTTTTTAGCCAAAGCAGAGCTGAGTTTGTTTTTTTTTTTCCTGAGAATTCGTTGTCTCATCTCCACGGCAGACACATTCAGTAGTTCTTGGCCAAACACGTTAGGTGTTCAGGACCATGCTGTCTGTAAGTTGTGAAGGTTGTAAATGTTGAAATCTTTCGTAAATAATGTTCTGTGGAGGAACAGCAGCCGACCTTAGCCAGAGGCCTACGTGGAGGAGTTCGTTTCCCTGCAAGCCCAGCAGCTCTAATCCTCTTGGGCAGCAGCGTCACCACCGCGGGGCACGGGTCTCCTGCGCAGTCATGGTGCAGTTAACAGGAGAAGTGCTGGCTTGTTTGTTGATGATAGAAATAGTGATGCGGTGCAGTTATTAAACTAAACCCGCATTTTTAATACTTCCAGTTGTACTAATTTCCTTTTACCACAAGAGGTCCCTAAGTCCCAGTTGATCCATGTGAGCCATTTTGTGTGGCTATCAGGCAGTTGCTATTATTTCCATTATGCCATATTAACTAAAATTTTAACATAAGCAGGTTAGACTTTTATTCTTTAGAAGCAGCTCATTGAAATATTTACTTTTAATCCCATCTGGACATAAAAATACCACATCTTATAAGAAGGATAAAAAAGACAGGAAAATGAATTATATAAGGTGACAGTAGATAGAATTCTTTTGAAGGTTAAGTGAAATAATAAAAATAAAAGCACTGCTTTTGTGAGTTAAGAACAAGTGAAACCATTCCTTTTACCTCAGATCCAACTTCCTCACTAGCCAATTATTTTTAATCTTTCAGAATCATAATGAAACATGATTTCTTTGTGGGTTAAAGATGAAAAGACAGAAGGATATTTAGGTGGGAAGACTTGGATAAAAGATGAAGCGGCATTTTGTCAGTCTCAGTTTCGTTATGTTATAAATCATTGTTACCTGTTGTGACCAGCTGTAACTGTTCCTGAGCCTGCACTAATTTAGTTATTGCTACATTGAATCTCTGCTCTTTGCTGATCAGAAAAGTCTGTGTATTTCATATAGTAATGTATATTTCATTTTTGAAATATCTTTTGAGAGATTACTTACTGGTCAAGTAGAGTTTGCTGTTTTATGTTCAACATATCTTTTTGGTTCAGTAGCTGGATCTACTGCAGTAAGATGACTGCGTATTTGTGATGACGAGGAGCCAACAAAAATATTTAACCAGAATAATAGTAAATCTTCTATAGTTGACCAATTAATAATTCACCACTGGGTATCTAGTTGTACAAGGTTTGTCTTTTTTAGTCTGTTCATTTTCAGCCTGACTTGCGAATAAAACCAGGAAACGCTTATTAATGCATCAGAGAATAATTTTCTGTCATTGAATTGTTATGTTTGCATTCTTCTGAATTAGGCTGATTAGTAGATACAAGTAATCTAGATAAAACTTTAAAATACAGTATTTCACTTGTGTTTTTACAATAAAAATCAATTTCTTAATATCTAAATGAAATTCTTTAATACATTAAGTCCAAGTGTGTTTCTTTGGGTGCTAACTTTTTAATAGTAATGTATATCTTTGACCACTAGATGGCATTAAACACACATAACTAAGGAAAAGTAAGCGAAGTTTTCGGAATATATGTATTACATATAATATATATATTCAATATATAAATATGGTACTTCCAGTGGCTCAGCAACTTAATGAGATACCCAGTGATGTCATCATGGACCCAGGTTCCTTTCATGTTTCCACTCTGCCATCCTGGATATCAAGCTTGTGCTTTGTGCCATCAATACCTGCTGCAGTGTTGTGCGGAACTTGAAAGTGTGACAAAGTCCAGCAGTGGAAGAAGGGAGCCTGCCGCCTTTGCAGGTTTCATTTTTATGGGACAGTTTACCTTACTTCAGAATCCCCAGGCAGGAGTCCTACTTGGGACTCATTGGCCATGCCTGGGTCCCCTGCACGCTCCCAAACAGGAGTCCCTGAGAGTGCAAAGGAGGTCCTCTGTCAGATCCATACAGCTCCGGGGCCAGCTAAGCCCTGGGCACACAGCCCTGGAAGGAGAAATTGAGGTGTAGGCATGGACACTCAGACAGTAATATTTAGTATCTTTCACTGTTATTTGATTGATTTACCTAAAGACTTCTTTCCCATCCTGATATTCTTTAAGCATAACTTTCACTTTGGTTATTATAAGGGCGTGACAGTGGACAGAGCTAACAGGTGCGGTCTGTGTCCAGGTGTTTCAGCCTGTCATTCAGTAGAAGCTCTTTAAGCTTTGCTTCCAGGAGTGTGTCGTCCTCCTAGCCAGTGAGTGAGAACTTGGATCCTTTTGATCTGCCTCTTGGTAGCAGCGTCCTCCGAGAACAGAGTTTCCAAAGTGCTTTGTGAATCTGTGAGCACTTTTCCTGAATCTGCCCTCATCTCCTGTAAAACTCGCCATTTTCAAGGTGCTGTATCCAGCCCGGTGGATCATGCTGCCCGGGGCATCTTGCATATATTGCCATCAGCTGCCACTCGGTTCAGCCTACACTTGTAGACTCACCAAAGGCCCAGCCGAGTGATTGACGCCCTTCAACAGCGACTGTCAGCTGTGATGCTCTCTCGCTTGTTTTCCCTTTAGACACCTCAGCGGCTCGCGGGCCAGCCAGCCCTCCCTCCTGGGACATGCTCCCATCTGATGGGGTGCCGGCAGCTCTCTTTCAGATGCTTCATGCCAAAGATGTGTCCCTGGTCTTCAATCCGAGTATCTGTGTTTCGCTACATTCAGCATATACGTGTTAAATGAATGAAGGAACTTTAATCAATTAATATTTTAAGGCGATAACTTTTTCTGAGTTAAAAAATGCCAATGGAACTGCGGTGGGTATTTGGCTGAGCAGCTAAGATTCCACTTGGGAAGACCACATCCTGTCCTGGAGTGCCTGGGTCCAAGTCCTAGCGTTATTCTCAGTTCCAGCTTCCTGAAGCGCATTCTGGGTATGCCGTGGCTGGCGATAGCTGTAACTCTTCGCTCCCAATTTTGGCTTTGATGAGCCGATGGATCGAACTCTCTCTCTCTCCCCTCCCTCCCTTCCTTTCAAATATAGTACTTTTATAACTGTTGATACTGCTGATTGCGTTTTAGGTAAAAGGCAAAAAGGTAGTGTTGCTATCATTGCTGGATTCTCAAGTTTTGATCCTTTTATCTGTAGCTTTACAAGGATTTGACTTGCTTGAAAAAGTTAGGAAAAAATTTTAAAAGAAATCTCTTGATATTTTTATCTTTCAGAAAACTGTGGACTCTATTTTCCAGAAATAAAAAGATATCCAGGCAAATATTTACACAGATGTCCCGAATCTGTAAGAAAGTGGCTTCGGCAGCTGAAGAATGCTGGGAAAATTCTTTTGCTAATTACCAGTTCTCATAGTGATTATTGCAGACTTCTCTGCGAATATATCCTCGGGTATGTGACAAGTTCAGTTGTTTTCACCAACTGGCATAGTAAAAATGGTATGAGAGGATGTTGAGTGGTGTAGCCTAGGTAACAACAGGCACGGCAGAGCCAGTGGTAAGTTTCATAAGTTAATCCTTATGTCACTTCTGTGTGCAAGACCAGAGTACATCTGTGGTCAAGGCAAGCTTCTATCCTGGAATAGAAGAGCTCTCCCAACAGTTTCTGAAGTTTCAGAAGGCACAGAACTGTCATGACCATGGTGCAAGGGTGGGCCTCAAAGCTGAGCTCTCCCTGCTTTTTAGCCTCCTGCTTTCCCTGTGTGGATTTCATTTGTTCTGTGATAGAATCTGTGAATGCCTTTTCTGCTGAGCAGGGCTGAGGCGTGAAATCCTTGAGGTGAACCAAGCTCGAAATCTTAGATAACTTGGGAGACGTCCCTGACGGTGGAGCCCTGCTTCAGGACACACACTGTGCTTTCAATTCCTTTTTCATTAACATAGATAACATAACCCTTTTTGTTGTCTATTTACTGTGGATTTGACTTGTTAAAAAAAAGAAAGTTCTGGGATACAAGGTAAGTATTGCATCTCCAGTGTGAGGTCTGTCTTAATAATCCTGAGAAAACCAGCGGGGACCTAGATCAGTGTGCTGCTGTGTTGTTTTGGTTATGCTTATGTTTATAATTCAAACAGCTGTCAGGAAGACTCGCACTCAGCCACCTTCTCTCTGCAGTGCATCATTCAGCCTCAAATGTGTAAAACAGGAAGCATGTAAAAGTTGATGAGGACAGATATGATATTGTGGTAAAATAGACAAACATTATGTTCTGTTTGGTATGGTCCATTTCTAATTGCTTAGAATCAATTTATGAGAAATGTTGTTGCTTTTCAGGAATGATTTTGCTGATCTCTTTGACGTTGTGATTACAAATGCGCTGAAGCCGGGTTTCTTCTCCCATGTACCAAGTCAGAGGCCTTTCTGGACGCTGAGTGAGTGTGTTCTTTCTTTTTTCCTCCTATGTACCTCTTGGCTAGCAAGTGCAGTACAGTGTCTTCTTTCCCCTTAATGGGGAAAAGAGATTATAAAATACCCCTGTTTATCGTAAGTTTTGCGCTATCATTTATTGTCATTATTTGTTTGCATGACAGCCTCTCCCGACTAAAAACGAACAACAGGGTGGACGTTGTGGCATGGCAGTGAAGCCATAGCCTAGGATGTACACGCCCCTCATTGGAGTACTTGACTGATCCAGTTACATCCTGATGGGGAACCTATGACAGCCTAAGTACTTGAGCTCCCACAACACATGTGGGAAACTCAGACTCCTGGCTGCAGCCTGACCCAGCCGCACCTGTTGCAGACCTTTAGGGAATGAACTAGCAGACGAAAGCTTGCTTCCTCTGCTTGCTCGCTCACCCTCTTTCTCTCTCTCTCTCTCTCTCAATACAAGACACACATACATACACATTGCTTTGCATTTCAAAAAGTAACTTAGATAAAAGTGAAGATCATGGGCTTTTGATTTTTAGAGCCTAACTAAATGCCTCAAACAATGGAATGATGAATTAATTATAGTAAGTTAGAATTAGTTAAAAATAAAATCTTTTTTAAAAATTATTTAAAAGGAAGAGTTACAGAGAGAAGGAGAGACAGAGAGAGAGCTTCCATCTATTAATTTAACTCCCCAGTGGCTGCAACAGCTGGAATTGAGCTGACTAAAAGCCAGGAGGCAGGAGCTTCTTTTGGGTCTCATGGGAGTTCAGGCCATAGGCATGTTAGCCTACCTCGCGATGGCACGGGCCCCAGAATGGGTTGCTTTTTTAATAGAAGTGACTGCAGAGTGTGTAAGGATCAGAGCAAATGAAACAGTTCTCTTTCTGGGGACCAGGAAAGGCCTTCAAGGAAGAGTGTGAGAATTACCACTTGTATAGAAGAGGTTGGTATGGAAAAAGGTTGAATGAAGAAAGTAAACAAATTGTGCAGATGAAAATGAATGACAGCAGTGTGACTACTCATGGTACCAAATGTCTAAAAGCTGCTTGAATAAACCTACAAAATGGAAAAACAAAGCATAAGGAGGAATGCAGGATGGTAGTTGGGGAGACTGAAAGGCATTAAGTTTTTATCTGTTGCATTGTTACCTGTTGAGTCTTTTGTTTCTATTTCATGGGGTGTCAAAGATACTTAGTGATAGGGTGACATTTGAGAACCATTCATTTCTCTTTAATAAATGTGTATAATAAGTCTAGGAATGACTGGAAGTTGAAAGAACTATAAATACATATGAATGGATATAGTTATCAAATAAAAATTACAAACTTATTCCAAGTCCAGCTATATTTAAAAGAACAGAATTAGAAGCCAGTGTTGTGGCATATGTTTCTGCCCGCAATGCCATCATCCCATATTGGGTGTGCATGCAAGTCCTGGCTGCTCCATTTCCAGTCTATCTCCCTGCTAATAAGCCTGGGAAAGCAGCGGAAGATGGCTTATGGTCTTTGGCCCCTGTACCCATGTGAGAGACATGGTAGAGACTCCTGGCTCCTAGTTTTGCCTCTCCCAAGGCTGATTGTTGTGACCCATTTGGATGGAAGAGATTTCTGTCTCTCCCTCTTTCTTTCTGTAACTCTGCCTTTCAAATAGATACATCTTTTATATAAAAAAAAATCTTGAATGTGTTATATAAGCATATAATATGCCTGTACCCAAAAGCAACCACTGTAATAGATGCTTTGTAATTTATTCATTTTGATTCAGGCACTTGGCAATATATAAACATTCAGAGCCAAGCTGAAACAATATTTAATATACATTTCTCCTTACTTTTCCACAGCCACACCTTACTGTATTTTAGAACGAAACTTAAAATCCCCCAAAAACTTGTGCACATGAATCAAAATTGCACACTGTTCCTTAATATGAAAATTCAGAGTTATTTGCTTTGAATTTCTTTAAGATTTTAAAAAATTTTTATTACAAAGTCAGATATACAGAGAGGAAGAGAGACAGTGAGAAAGGTCTTTTGTCCGATGATTCACTCCCCAAGTGAGTGCAAGGCCGTTGCTATGCCGATCCGAAGCCAGGATCCAGGAACTTCTTCCAGGTCTCCCACACGGGTGCAGAGTCTCAAGGTTTGGGCCATCCTCAACTGTTTTCCCAGGCCACAAGCAGGGAGCTGGATGGGAAGTGGAGCAGCTGGGATTAGAACTGGCACCCATATGGGATCCCGGTGCATTGAACACGAGAACTTTAGCCACTAGGCCACACCGCCAGGCCCTATTTGCTTTGAATTTCTACTTTTTGGTAGCAAAAAGCCTGACATGGTGCCAGGCAATTGACAGTCGCTTAGACCACTCTTCACTAATGGGCTCAGGAACTGTGAAGTCTAAGTTCAGTGTAGCAGGTGTCAAGCACCAAGGGATCCTTGCTGAAGCAGGGTCGTGCATTTCATTAGGTACAAGGGCTGACTACAGATTGAGGCTTATGTCATGAAGGTTATAACCATCTGATTAGAGGGTTGGGGGGGTGCATCCTCAGAGAGGCCAGCTGGGGAAGACCTGTTGGAAAAGATCGAGTAAGGAAACTTACCATGTAAGCCCTGATGATGAGCAGTCAGAAAAGCAGAGGACTAGTGTTCCTGGCTATGGCAGAAGCAAGTTTGAAGGCCCAGAAACGGAGCAGTTCCATCGTATCACAGTGACGGGGAAGAGGCCTGTGATTCTGCCTGATGACCCTGGGGAGGAAGTAGATGGAATTAGAAGGAAAGAAGGCGAGTGTTACTTCATCCGTGATCTGGAAGCCTCGGTATTTAAGGAGTGCACCAATAATATATCAGAATAATTTTGGTTTAGTCAGTTTATCTCTGTGCCTCTCAAATAAACATTTTTAAAAGCAATTCATTTTTCAACATACTAATTATAAGCTATGGATTATCTATTTTAAGCTATGAATTATCTAATTGGTAATGTTCAGAAAGTATATGAATGCTAACAAATACAAGCACACACACCAAGAGAAAGCAATGCACATTAATGTGTACCATTTTTTAAAAATATGTATTCATTTATTTGAAATTGAGAATTATAGAAAGAGACCAGAAGAGATCTTCCGTATGTTGGTTCATTCCCCAGATGTGTGCAGTGGCCAGTACTGGGCGAAGCCAAGGCCAAGAGCTTCATCTGGGTTTCTGACATGGTGCAGGGGTTCATGCACTTGTATCATCCTATGCTGCTTTCCTCAGACCATTGTCATGGAGCGAGAACAGAAGTGGAGTAGCCAGCAGTGCCCAGGCATGGATTGGATTTTGGCATCCCGGGTGGCAGTTTTACCCACTATACCACAGCACTAGCCTGTAAGCCATTGTTTAATGTGTTGGACATCATGATTGCATTGAGTGATGCTGACAAAGATAGTATATTTTGCACAGTATTTTTTTAAAGATTTATTTATTTTTATTGGAAGGGCAGATCAACAGAGAGAACGACAGAGACAAAGATCTTCCATCTGGTGGTTGCTCCCCAAGTGGCCACAATGGCCAAAGCTGAGCCAGTCTGAGGCCAGGAGCTTCTTCTGAGTCTCCCATGCAAGTGCAGGGTCCTAAGGCTTTGGGCCATCATCTACTGCTTTCCCAGGCTTTTGTTGTTGGTGCTTTCAGAGTCCTATCCTAAAAAATCTTACAATTTGAGTTTTGAAAAGCAATCTGCCTTTGTCTTTATGTGGTTTCAAAGATGAAAAGTCTTGTTGGTGAAGAACCACAGTCCTACCCCCATTATTGTTGCTGACTATTCTGGAATGCCTCGGGACCTCCGAACAAACGGGACTCCATGGTATCAGTGGGTCATACAATGAATCAGATTTTTTAGCGTTAACCCGAAATAGCCGGTTGCATTTAAACTTATTAAAATGGTTGCTAGAACTGTTAACAGAGGAGCATTCTTCCCCTCTTGGAAGATCCCGAGTTCCCTGCGTTCTGGCTTGGATGCCCATGCTGCTGCCCAGCTCTTGTGCCTGAGGCACTCGCGCGGCTGCTTTCTGTCCTTCCTCTTGGAGCAACCTTCTGTCTGCGGCTCCCCTCTCTCCTCCGGCTGCCCGTCCACGTCCTACTTCTCACCCGTGGCTGACTCACAATTTCCTACAGCCCAGCTTCACTTTTCCCTGCCTCCCAGAGCCGTTTTCTGTCTTCTGCACTCTGCAGCCCAGAACACAAGTCCCGTGAATTGCGATGCGTCCCGAAGAGTTACGCCATCTTGGCACACCCCTCCTCCCACAGTGGTGGTAGTAACCTTTCCAAACAGGGCGCTTAACCAGGCTAGGAAAGTCAGTCATGGTCCATTTTCCTTTCCCTTCGTATCTGACCCGCGTTTTAGTTTTATCGGGTTTGCCACCATTCCTTGTACGAACTGGTGCGCCAGCCCTTCAGGCACCGGCTATCACACTGCTTCCGAAACGGTCACTCCGGCTCCATCGAGCCCGGTAAACCTCAAGCCACCTCCAGTGCAGCTGGTGTTAGGAAACAACGCCAATACCCGTAGGCCTGCCATTATGACCTTCATCGATATCGAAATTACATCGACTGATTAAAATCAGAAGAAAACGGGACCCGGGGGCATGGCCTACCGGCTAAAGTCCTCACCGAGCAGGCCCGGGATCCCATATGGGCGCCGGTTCTATCCCGGCAGCCCCGCTTCCCTTCCAGCTCCCTGCTTGTGGACTGGGAAAGCAGTCGAGGATGGCCCAAAGCCTTGGGACCCTGCACCCGCGTGGGAGACCTGGAGGAAGTTCCTGGTTCCCGGCTTCGGATTGGCGCAGCACCGGCCGTTGCAGCTCACTTGGGGAGTGAATCATCGGACGGAAGATCTTTCTCACTGTCTCTCCTCCTCTCTATATATCTGACTTTGTAATAAAAAATAAATAAATCTTTAAAAAAATAAAATCAGAAGAAAACGGACAATCGAGAAGCGCAGTGCGTATGCGCCCCCACTCCGCCCCA